GCATGAGTATATAAGAAAATTGTTCGAAACATGAGCAGATGCCTTTACCAATTTTGCTTGCTGGAGTTTGGCAGAGAACCTGAAGAGCATTCGAAATTGGAAAAGTACCAGACAGCAAAAAGAGTTTTGGAAGACCTTCTGTCTGAGTGGAAACAACTGGCGCCTTTAAAGGACAAAAGCGATTATTTTCATGTGAGCTGGGGATTTTTTTAGATAGAAGGGCCAAGAAAAGACAAAGTTGTTTTGAAATATAATTAGTGATAGTGTTCATGAACAGAAATGTTACAAATGCTGATTTGAAACTTGTAAATTTGATTTGAAATTTGAAGTGTTTCAAATTTTAAATTACATTTATTCTTGAAAACATACTTTTTGTTATTTGATTAAACAGGAACAAAAGCATCGAACTGTTGAGATAATCTGTAAACAACACCACAGTCAGCAAAAATGAAACTATATGACATCAGTCTGAAAATAACTGATCAATAATCAACTGATTGATAATCAACTGATCAATAATCAACTGATTGATATTAAGAGCATAATCCACACCACTGGGGTACACTGTCAAATAAGTCACTGAGCTTTATTTTAGAAATACAGCAAGCGTCTGAGTGCTTTAACACTGTAATAGATCAGGGCAAAAGTGAACTTTGTTACACTATACATGGGGGTAGAACAAACTGTATTTCTTTTCCAAGATGCCAAATTCTATACTTACCAAGGATTAATCTATGGCAGAAAACAAACAGAAAAATGACGGTGTCAGTAACCTAAATTAACAATCCACCTTCAATACACGTTACCAGGAAAACAAATGATAAAACAGTTTGATGAGGGTTTACGTTTGGGTTAAATATCTTTTCTACAGTACTTTAATTACATCTGTGATTAATGGCAACCATATGGGGCAATATGAACGTCGATTTTCTACTACCAACTAGAACAGTAAATCCAGATAAAGCTGACTAGTCAAGCGACATTCCACAGATGCATTGAACGGTGCTGTATCGCTGTTTAATTGTGAGTTAAGCTGAGACATTTATTCCATCAAAACAATAATAACAGTAATGTTTCCACTAGTGATGTAAGCCAACTGAAGCAACTGCAAACAAAGAAATGGGTGCTACAGAGTAGTTAAGTGTAGAAGATTGTACAAGGCGATGACAACTCATATGCATTGTGATGTCGGTTACTACGGGTACGTTTCATTACGAGGGGGCAGACGAGAATGGCGTAGTGACGTCAATACAGTGTGACGTCATGCAAAAAGTGTACTTTATCACCTGATACAATTATCACAATTATACAAGTCTCGGTGTTCAGTTGTGCAAGTGAAATTGGAACAGTAACTGGAACTGAACGATGTCCAAATATGTTCATAATAATCTTAAAAGATGACCTTGACCTCTGATAAACTACTGATTTTATCTGGAAGGATTTGTGAAGATACATGCAAAAAAGTGTGTTATGGTTTTAGAAGTAACCATGCCCAAAAAGCATTCACAGACCTTGAACTTATGACGTTTTGATGACATGTGCAAATTCACCCGAGGGCACTTTTATGAAATCTATTGAAGAATTAAAACCTAGTGTCGATTATTTCTAGTGTGGCAGGCCTAAGAAAAATTACTTCCAGAGCCCAAATTCCAACAAATACTCATATTCTTTGTGTTTCACCTGGTTGCTAAATATATAGGTACCCCTGAACTGGTTCATACTGAAGTATACACAGCTATTATATGCATGTTAGGAAGTAAGAAAGTTAGTTGATTTTGAGACTGTCAACAGCCAAATGTCATGTTCTCCAGTCCCAGAGATATTACCACACTTGCTTCAATAAACCCAGTAACCATTTAAACCAAAATCAGTATTTGAAATTCCTAATCTTCCTGCTTCAATTGAGGTAGAAATGTTAAAAAATGGTGTATGCACTTTGCACATACCAACTTTGCATAAACTCAGAGGATACCGGTACTTGAATGTGCCTTCAAAACAAAAGTTTTCTTATTTTTACTTGTCATTGGGTATATGCACAAATATATATTATATTTTTTTCAAAAGAAACATGTGCAAGTGTTTGGTGGATCTTGTAATAAGAGGGCTTCTATAAAGAAGACATTTTACTTGGTTTAAATGTCAGAATGTCTACAATGCAACCTTGCTGAGTGAGCAACCAAGACGTTCTCCAGTCCCCATTGCTATATTACAAGTAAGGTCAGCACAGGGGTGACAGTAAACCTGGTCATCAATATGTGTTGCCCTTTTAAATACGTGCATACAAAACACAAACAAATACAAACCTCTTTACAGCAAAAAATGATTAAAGTATGTGAACACAACAGACATTACGATTGATGACCAAAGCAAGTCTGTGAACTAATAAAAAGGTGATTTTAATTTTCATTCTACCAATGCTCGAATTTGATTGGTCAATCCATAAAATCAGACGGTATCAATTTGGATTGAAAATGCGTCTGATTTCACGGCGCTTCACTGCGCACGTATACAACACTGCTGCACTACTTCAGCTTGGCCACCAACATGACTAATATCAACACAACAGACGTGATGGAAATGCTGATGAAACATTTATTAAAACTCGAAAAAATACAATTATACGATTTCTCCTCCACAATTATTAGGGAACCTCACTATCATAATTATAAGCTTCTATTATAAAAATATTCAGACTCAATATTACAATACACAGCCCCAAACATAAACAAACAATATCTAACATATAAATCAGAAAACCTTGTAAAAATACATCCCTATCTATCCCTATTTGTGCAGCAAAATGTTCGTAAACATTTACCTACCTGGTAAATGGTATATTTAATTCCGTTTAGAATGGGAAATTCGCAAGATAACAGTCAGGCGAAATACAAAATTTGCCACTCATACTCCAATGCATCGTTCAAAATGTCAAACATTGAACCATGAGAATTCCGCTCTCTGCCACCTTCCCGTAAGACTGTTCGTACACTTTGCGCTTGGCCACAATCCAGTCCCAAATGATGAGAACAATGTTCCAAGGAATCCCAAGTTAGTCGCATGTACACAAAGCAGCACTGTCAGTGTCACTCTTTCGACGCATGTCGGGGTGGAGGCACCTTAATCATGATCGACAATAGCCGGTCATAAAAATCAACAGTCTTTGATGAGTTAATTACATGTCATAGGTCGATCAGAAAAGGATCTATTCTTTGATTCTGCAGGGTTCAGGTTCGACAGTCAGTCAAGTATTTTCCACTGTCACTTCGAGTTTCAACCTTTCGCAAAATGTAAACACTGGCTCGTCAACCATTTCTAACTGTTGCGTAACCGTCTACTTCCAAGAAAATAAGTAGGTCAGACGATTCCATTATAGTGTGGCCAGGGGGGGTACAGTAACAGGGCACACAAAACAATAGGCTGGTTTCGATCACGTGGAGTTATGATTATAAAAACCAAGCTCTTAGGTGTTACATTACTGCATTGAACGAGCAGTAGTTTGTTTTCTTCGGACAGAATATTATTTATGTTGCAATGTTAAAAAAAATACGAACGGAACCTACCACTCCATTCACAGACGAGTTTAATTCGCCTCTCATCCCATGCCGGATTTCGCAGTGTCTTCCGCAGGACGAGGAAGTTTGATGTTAACTCGGTTATGGTAGAATGGAGATAAACATACTGTGTTTGGAAATTAGATGAATGTTAGACCGAATTGATAGTCTCTAAATTAATCATTTGAAAGCTCAAATGACGAAATACATTAAAATGGTTCCGTTTTGACATTCAGGTGTTTTATAGTTGGTGTTAGAATTAAATATTTTAGCATCGTGATGCATATTGTATCGTCACCCTTATATCGGGAGCTTCAGTGCACGATACTTTGGCAATATATCGTCATGACTACAATTTTAGCATCATGATGTATCGTATCGCAGGTTGTATGCCAATACCAGCACTATGGATGAGTCCAGTAAACTGAAGGCCTGCAGTCACTGACTGAGTGGGAACAACAGTATACCTACTACCCTTCTAGCACCAACTAGTTATGTTTTGTGTGGTCAGGTGAACAAACCCAATGAAAGATGTGCAGGTTCTTGAACCACTTTCAAAGAAGTTTCATTTGGAAAGTTATAAAATCCAAACAAATTCCATTAATAACACAGCAGTTCATGCTGTAGATGCAATGGCATTCAGAAATGATGGGAGAGAGTATATCCATATCAAAATATACTGCAGCCATTTTTGGCAGTGGTGGTGTGTGGTCCTGTGCGTAGAGCTCAGGCCAAGAATCAGTTAAGTTAAATTGAAGTTAAGCAACGTCGAGCTCAGAGAGTCCTTGGATGGGTGACCGTGTTTGGCAGCTTGACTCCTGAGAGTCTCTAGGACTTCAGTCCTGCCCCACGGCGAAGCTCATGTGATACATGTGGTCTAACCTTAGGCAAGTGAGTTTGTTCAAACTTGCCTCGGTTCACCCAGCAGAAAATGGGTACCCAGTTGGATAAAGTCATGTGACTTTAACCTACTTACGCCTCACAGGCAGCTTGGGTTATCCGGGGTAATAATAATCAGATTCTGATTACAGCGTCCAGTGAGCAACTAGTCAGATGGAAACTAGGCGCTATATGAAGGAATTATTATAGTTAAGTGCCCATTTGTATGTCATGAATGGCATTTGGAACTGGTAAGGAGAGAAAATGGAGAGAACTTATGGATGTCAATTCCTGTAATATGGAATGAATGATGGAGTAACAATATACTTGAAACGATGTGCCCCTTATAACACAGTACAGGAGTTGACATACATATATTATCTCCCTTTGTGCTAATTTTTCTTTAATTTCTTGATGTAGAAATCCGATAAACTAGGCTAAAACTAAAATGTTGATTGGCTCATTGGCCTCCTGTGTACATGTCCTCAAACTGGCACACACAGAGGAATCATATAAATACATAAGATCTGATTTCAATTGGTTTCCATACATGACACTTGTGCGACATACCTGTAGAACTTGAGTGCCACCTCTGGCTGGTCTGTGTAGAAGTGATTTGTTCCTATACAGGCAACAGCTTCAACATGCATGTTGTCAAAGTGTAATACCTCCTTGTAGAACTTTACAGCATTGTCCATTTCATTCAAACCCTGAAATCATAAAAAGTACATAATTTACATCTTTTGAAATAAAATGAAAGTGATTTGCATTTTAACTCGCCGTTAGCAACTCTTAATAAAAAGTGAATTTTTACTCTGAATGCAGACAAACATCCATAATTAATAAAAATAATATTTAATATTTAAACTTAAAACAGTCACATAATGATATCTGTGGTGATAGATAACAGTAAGACAGAAAAAGTTGTCTCCCCTTAAAATCCCTGCACTTCAAATATCTTCTTTTTCAAGGTATCTATTTCATGACTTAAAACAAAAAGAAACTTATTAATTTAGCCTCACAACTTTCAGATGATCCATTTCAATTTTTCAACACAATTCATTCTATTTTTCACCATCTGGATAACAATATCTCTTTGTTAAAGTTAAATCTAACTGATCCAAGACCTCTTTTATTCCATGCATCAGCATATCAGATTTACATAAATGTTAAATGTCCATGATGACTGAGACCTCGAGTTTCAGTAACAAAAATACGACCATATACAAAAAAATAAATGACTATTCCCAAATCTATTTGTTTGAAAGATTGAAAATCTAGAACTTAACATATCATGGCATAAAATGAGAATAAACCCTGGGTGGTATTTTTTGTATCAAATATATGGCCACTCAATAAATGTTTAGCATTTTGAGGCCTGCTGAGTGTTGATATATTTGATGTCCAAAGACACAAGGATATGATTCTATATATCATCAAAAACCAATCTTCTATATTTTGCAGCTTAGAATAAGCAGTGTTTTCAATGCAGGAAGTACTGCCTATTATCTACAGTAGAGATTAGAGATATCATTTAATTATTGATATCTGTATCTCACCCATGTGATATTCCCTGTGGAAGCCAGTTTGGGATGATAATAAAACAATCACAACTGAAAGAACGGATGTAAGAAGTTCCATGGCTCACTTCATAAATCCTGGCAATGCCGGTGAGGAGACTGGTCTCTCCCGGAAACTTTTCCAGTGCCGACTTGTATGTATCCACTGCAGTGAGGGGCTGGTCCAGCCTAATGTATACCTTACTCAGGTATAAGAAGCTGTCAACCATCTCGTCCTGCTTCAAGGCTGATTTCAGCTGCTTCTCTGCATCTCGATACATTCCCAGCCTGTCATAAGGAAGTCTGTGTGATGCATTGATATCTAAACTTTGGTTATACAGTACATGATGAACACCCCTCACCTACATGAGTGGTAGTGCCTGGCCAGGTCATAACACTGCCCCACCCTTCCACATGTACTAGTCCCTGTGTCTACCCATGTGTAGTAGTACCTGGCCAGGTGAAAACCCTGCCCCACCCTTCCACATGTACTAGTCCCTGTGTCAACCCATGTGTAGTAGTACCTGGCCAGGTGAAAACCCTGCCCCACCCTTCCACATGTACTAGTCCCTGTGTCTACCCATGTGTAGTAGTACCTGGCCAGGTGAAAACCCTGCCCCACCCTTCCACTTGTACTAGTCCCTGTGTCACCCCATGTGTAGTAGTACCTTGCCAGGTGAAAACCCTGCCCCACCCTTCCACATGTACTAGTCCCTGTGTCATCCCATGTGTAGTAGTACCTTGCCAGGTGAAAACCCTGCCCCACCCTTCCACATGTACTAGTCCCTGTGTCACCCCATGTGTAGTAGTACCTGGCCAGGTGAAAACCCTGCCCCACCCTTCCACATGTACTAGTCCCTGTGTCATCCCATGTGTAGTAGTGCCTTGCTAGGTGAAAACCCTGCCCCACCCTTCCACATGTACTAGTCCCTGTGTCAACCCATGTGTAGTAGTACCTGGCCAGGTCATAACCCTGCCCCACCCTTCCACATGTACTAGTCCCTGTGTCACCCCATGTGTAGTAGTACCTGGCCAGGTGAAAACCCTGCCCCACCATTCCACATGTACTAGTCCCTGTGTCAACCCATGTGTAGTAGTACCTGGCCAGGTGAAAACCCTGCCCCACCCTTCCACATGTACTAGTCCCTGTGTCATCCCATGTGTAGTAGTACCTGGCCAGGTGAAAACCCTGCCCCACCCTTCCACATGTACTAGTCCCTGTGTCAACCCATGTGTAGTAGTACCTGGCCAGGTGAAAACCCTGCCCCACCCTTCCACATGTACTAGTCCCTGTGTCATCCCTTGTGTAGTAGTACCTGGCCAGGTGAAAACCCTGCCCCACCCTTCCACATGTACTAGTCCCTGTGTCATCCCATGTGTAGTAGTACCTGGCCAGGTGAAAACCCTGCCCCACCCTTCCACATCTACTAGTCCCTGTGTCAACCCATGTGTAGCAGTACCTGGCCAGGTCATAACACTGCCCCACCCTTCCACATGTACTAGTCCCTGTGTCACCCCATGTGTAGTAGTACCTGGCCAGGTGAAAACCCTGCCCCACCCTTCCACATGTACTAGTCCCTGTGTCATCCCATGTGTAGTAATACCTTGCCAGGTGAAAACCCTGCCCCACCCTTCCACATGTACTAGTCCCTGTGTCTACCCATGTGTAGTAATACCTGGCCAGGTGAAAACCCTGCCCCACCCTTCCACATGTACTAGTCCCTGTGTCAACCCATGTGTAGTAATACCTGGCCAGGTGAAAACCCTGCCCCACCCTTCCACTTGTACTAGTCCCTGTGTCAACCCATGTGTAGTAGTACCTTGCCAGGTGAAAACCCTGCCCCACCCTTCCACATGTACTAGTCCCTGTGTCAACCCATGTGTAGTAGTACCTGGCCAGGTGAAAACCCTGCCCCACCCTTCCACATGTACTAGTCCCTGTGTCACCCCATGTGTAGTAGTACCTGGCCAGGTGAAAACCCTGCCCCACCCTTCCACTTGTACTAGTCCCTGTGTCAACCCATGTGTAGTAGTACCTTGCCAGGTGAAAACCCTGCCCCACCCTTCCACTTGTACTAGTCCCTGTGTCAACCCATGTGTAGTAGTACCTTGCCAGGTGAAAACCCTGCCCCACCCTTCCACTTGTACTAGTCCCTGTGTCAACCCATGAGTAGTAGTACCTGGCCAGGTGAAAACCCTGCCCCACCCTTCCACATGTACTAGTCCCTGTGTCAACCCATGTGTAGTAGTACCTTGCCAGGTGAAAACCCTGCCCCACCCTTCCACTTGTACTAGTCCCTGTGTCAACCCATGTGTAGTAGTACCTGGCCAGGTGAAAACCCTGCCCGACCCTTCCACATGTACTAGTCCCTGTGTCATCCCATGTGTAGTAGTACCTGGCCAGGTGAAAACCCTGCCCCACCCTTCCACATGTACTAGTCCCTGTGTCAACCCATGTGTAGTAGTACCTTGCCAGGTGAAAACTCTGCCCCACCCTTCCACTTGTACTAGTCCCTGTGTCAACCCATGTGTAGTAGTACCTGGCCAGGTGAAAACCCTGCCCCACCCTTCCACATGTACTAGTCCCTGTGTCATCCCATGTGTAGTAGTACCTGGCCAGGTGAAAACCCTGCCCCACCCTTCCACATGTACTAGTCCCTGTGTCATCCCATGTGTGTAGTAGTACCTTGCCAGGTGAAAACTCTGCCCCACCCTTCCACTTGTACTAGTCCCTGTGTCAACCCATGTGTGGTAGTACCTGGCCAGGTGAAAACCCTGCCCCACCCTTCCACATGTACTAGTCCCTGTGTCATCCCATGTGTAGTAGTACCTGGCCAGGTGAAAACCCTGCCCCACCCTTCCACATGTACTAGTCCCTGTGTCAACCCATGTGTAGTACCTGGCCAGGTGAAAACTCTGCCCCACCCTTCCACTTGTACTAGTCCCTGTGTCAACCCATGTGTAGGTAGTAGTACCTGGCCAGGTGAAAACCCTGCCCCACCCTTCCACATGTACTAGTCCCTGTGTCATCCCATGTGTAGTAGTGCCAGGCCAGGTGAAAACCCTGCCCCACCCTTCCACATGTACTGGTCCCTGTGTCAACCCATGTGTAGTAGTGCCTTGCCAGGTGAAAACTCTGCCCCACCCTTCCACTTGTACTAGTCCTGTGTCAACCCATGTGGTTGTGCCTGGCCAGGTGAAAACCCTGCCCCACCCTTCCCACATGTACTAGTCCTGTGTCAACCCATGTGTAGTAGTACCTGGCCAGGTGAAAACCCTGCCCCACCCTTCCACATGTACTGGTCCCTGTGTCACCCCATGTGTAGTAGTACCTGGCCAGGGTGAAAACCCTGCCCCACCCTTCCACACCGTACTAGTCCCTGTGTCAACCCATGTAGTGTAGTACCTGGCCAGGTGAAAACCCTGCCCCACCCTTCCACATGTACTAGTCCCTGTGTCAACCCATGTGTAGTAGTACCTGGCCAGGTGAAAACTCTGCCCCACCCTTCCACATGTACTAGTCCCTGTGTCACCCCATGTGTAGTAGTACCTGGCCAGGTGAAAACCCTGCCCCACCCTTCCACTTGTACTAGTCCCTGTGTCAACCCATGTGTAGTAGTACCTTGCCAGGTGAAAACCCTGCCCCACCCTTCCACATGTACTAGTCCCTGTGTCAACCCATGTGTAGTAGTACCTGGCCAGGTGAAAACCCTGCCCAACCCTTCCACTTGTACTAGTCCCTGTGTCAACCCATGTGTAGTAGTACCTGGCCAGGTGAAAACCCTGCCCGACCCTTCCACATGTACTAGTCCCTGTGTCACCCCATGTGTAGTAGTACCTGGCCAGGTGAAAACCCTGCCCTAACCCTTCCACATGTACTAGTCCCTGTGTCACCCCATGTGTAGTAGTACCTGGCCAGGTGAAAACCCTGCCCCACCCTTCCACATGTACTAGTCCCTGTGTCAACCCATGTGTAGTAGTACCTTGCCAGGTGAAAACTCTGCCCCACCCTTCCACTTGTACTAGTCCCTGTGTCAACCCATGTGTAGTAGTACCTGGCCAGGTGAAAACCCTGCCCCACCCTTCCACATGTACTAGTCCCTGTGTCATCCCATGTGTAGTAGTACCTGGCCAGGTGAAAACCCTGCCCACCCTTCCACATGTACTAGTCCCTGTGTCATCCCATGTGTAGTAGTACCTTGCCAGGTGAAAACTCTGCCCCACCCTTCCACTTGTACTAGTCCCTGTGTCAACCCATGTGTAGTAGTACCTGGCCAGGTGAAAACCCTGCCCCACCCTTCCACATGTACTAGTCCCTGTGTCATCCCATGTGTAGTAGTACCTGGCCAGGTGAAAACCCTGCCCCACCCTTCCACATGTACTAGTCCCTGTGTCAACCCATGTGTAGTAGTACCTGGCCAGGTGAAAACTCTGCCCCACCCTTCCACATGTACTAGTCCCTGTGTCAACCCATGTGTAGTAGTACCTGGCCAGGTGAAAACCCTGCCCCACCCTTCCACATGTACTAGTCCCTGTGTCATCCCATGTGTAGTAGTACCTGGCCAGGTGAAAACCCTGCCCCACCCTTCCACATGTACTGGTCCCTGTGTCAACCCATGTGTAGTAGTACCTTGCCAGGTGAAAACTCTGCCCCACCCTTCCACTTGTACTAGTCCCTGTGTCAACCCATGTGTAGTTGTACCTGGCCAGGTGAAAACCCTGCCCCACCCTTCCACATGTACTAGTCCCTGTGTCAACCCATGTGTAGTAGTACCTGGCCAGGTGAAAACCCTGCCCCACCCTTCCACATGTACTGGTCCCTGTGTCACCCCATGTGTGTAGTAGTACCTGGCCAGGTGAAAACCCTGCCCCCACCCTTCCACACGTGCTAGTCCCTGTGTCAACCCATGTGTAGTAGTACCTGGCCAGGTGAAAACCCTGCCCCACCCTTCCACATGTACTAGTCCCTGTGTCAACCCATGTGTAGTAGTACCTGGCCAGGTGAAAACTCTGCCCCACCCTTCCACATGTACTAGTCCCTGTGTCAACCCATGTGTAGTAGTACCTGGCCAGGTGAAAACCCTGCCCCACCCTTCCACATGTACTAGTCCCTGTGTCAACCCATGTGTAGTAGTACCTGGCCAGGTGAAAACCCTGCCCCACCCTTCCACATGTACTAGTCCCTGTGTCAACCCATGTGTAGTAGTGCCTTGCTAGATGAAAACCCTACCCCACCCACCACTTGGAGTAGAACCTGACAAGATGGATACCCTAACCCCAACCATCACTTGGAGTAGAACCTGACAAGATTGACACCCTAACCCCAACCATCACTTGGAGTAGAACCTGACAAGATTGACACCCTGACCCCAACCATCACTTGGAGGAGAACCTGACAAGATTGACACCCTGCCCCACCCACCACTTGGAGGACAACCAGACAAAATTGACACCCTGACCCCAACCATCACTTGGAGTAGAACCTGACAAGATGGACACCCTGTCCCCACCCACCACTTGGGAGTAGAACCTGACAAGATTGACACCCTGACCCCAACCATCACTTGGAGTAGAACCTGACAAGATTGACACCCTGACCCCAACCATCACTTGGAGTAGAACCTGACAAGATGGACACCCTGACCCCAACCACCACTTGGAGTAGAACCTGACAAGATGGACACCCTGACCCCAACCATCACTTGGAGTAGAACCTGACAAGATGGACACCCTGACCCCAACCATCACTTGGAGTAGAACCAGACAAGATGGACACCCTGACCCCAACCATCACTTGGAGTAGAACCTGACAAGATGGACACCCTGACCCCAACCATCACTTGGAGTAGAACCTGACAAGATGGACACCCTGACCCCAACCATCACTTGGAGTAGAACCTGACAAGATTGACACCCTGCCCCACCCATCACTTGGAGTAGAACCTGACAAGATTGACACCCTGACCCCAACCATCACTTGGAGTAGAACCTGACAAGATTGACACCCTGCCCCACCCATCACTTGGAGTAGAACCTGACAAGATTGACACCCTGCCCCACCCATCACTTGGAGTAGAACCTGACAAGATTGACACCCTGACCCCAACCATCACTTGGAGTAGAACCTGACAAGATTGACACCCTGCCCCACCCATCACTTGGAGTAGAACCTGACAAGATTGACACCCTGCCCCACCCACCACTTGGAGTAGTGCCCGGCCAGATGGACATCCAGCCTCAACCCTCACCTGTAGTAGCACTTGGCTAGCTGGACCTTCCACCACCAGTCCTTGTACTGACAGGATTCTGTAGCTAGAGCAGCCAGCTCCAGGGCCTGAAACACAGGGACACATGTGTAAGTAAACTAAACAACACTTTGACACATGTGTAAGTAAACTAAACAACACTTTGACACATGTGTAGTTGAACTGAACAACAATGGGGCATATGTGTAGTTGAACTAACCAACACTGGGGCATATGTGTAGATGAACTAAACAACAATGGGGCACATGTGTAGATGAACTAAACAACACTGGGGCATATGTGTAGATGAACTAAACAACACTTTGACACATGTGTAGTTGAACTGAACAATGGGGCATATGTGTAGATGAACTAACCAACACTGGGGCACATGTGAAGATGAACTAACCAACACTGGGGCACATGTGAAGATGAACTAACCAACACTGGGGCACACGCGTAGATGAACTAAACAACAATGGGGCACATGTGAAGATGAACTAAACAACACTGAGGCAGATGTGAAGATGAACTAAACAACACTGGGGCACATGTGTAGATGAACTAAACAACACTGGGGCATATGTGTAGATGAACTAAACAACAATGGGGCATATGTGTAGATGAACTAAACAACACTGGGGCACATGTGTAGATGAATTAACCAACACTGGGGCACACGCGTAGATGAACTAAACAACAATGGGGCACATGTGAAGATGAACTAAACAACACTGGGGCACATGTGTAGATGAACTAAACAACACTGGGGCACATGTGTAGATGAACTAAACAACACTGGGGCACATGTGAAGATGAACTAAACAACACTGGGGCACATGTGTAGATGAACTAAACAACACTGGGGCACATGTGTAGATGAACTAACCAACACTTGGGCACACGCGTAGATGAACTAAACAATGGGGCACATGTGAAGATGAACTAAACAACACTGAGGCACATGTGAAGATGAACTAAACAACACTGGAGCACATGTGTAGATGAACTAAACAACAATGGGGCACATGTGTACGTGTAAGAATGCTCAACATCATTGGGGACATATGTGTACATGTAAGAAAGCTCATGTTTATGAGTTTGAAAACTCAGCAATTGAAAGTATTGACACTCGGCATGCAATGACATCATACACTGCCACATAATACTTGGGTGCAAGGGCATATGAATGTAGCCATTAATGTTCAATGGAGATAAATTTTTATGATAGGCTCAGGGTACAGGGGTTAATTTTTATGCCTGCACCCTCGAGCAGGAGGACCTAGGATGTAATGACTTCCTAGATTGTATGTTGTATTTCTACCAGGTACTCACATTTCTCACATCGTTTTCATGATGGAAAATATATTCAAAGAGAGCCTTCGCCAAGTTTTGTCTTGAGGCATATTTGTTAAAGTTGAGTCGAGCCAGGTTGATGAACGGACCATCAGCATTGGACAACATGGATGCCTGGAGGTGTGAGAAGATGTAGCGGACATGTGTACTCACAGTGACACTTTCTAGATCAAATACATATTCTTAATATCTATTCCGTGAGAAGAAAAGTTGTATATCCTGAGCCTTGACATTGAATTCTGCTGCAAATAGCACCTTATAAGTTTCAAAAACCAAAACTGTTGGCATCTTTTATTGAGACAGCACATAAACATTTCCTTCCTGTATTACTGTATGATTTTACATTACAGCATATATGCATCTAAATGACATTAACAATCAACCCTGAGAAAATCTACATGAAATGAGCTCACATTGAAAAGTTTATCCTCTTTCAACCCTTTTAATTCTACAGTTTTTTCCATATTGTACTCCATCAAGAACTACTTTTACACAACAGGTGATCCTGACCATCAAGCCTAAGGCTATGTTTACTCTTATGACAAGTATGGTGTCCTGAAAGACTGTTTGGAACAAATATCACCATGAATGAATACTTCATGAGAATATTAATAATGTTTTTGAGAACGTAAACTTCATACAACCAAAGGAAGATAACTCTTCATGAATCTATGGACTACTCACTGTTCCCAGTCTGACATATCTTCCCGAAGCACTAGTGACAGGTCTGGCTGTGTGAGCCGTACGAGGGGTTCGAATGGCCTGTTCCATGGTGCCAGGGCGACCCGATTGGGTACCAGGGCGGACAAATCCACTCAAAGGACGACCAGATTGACTCGTAGGCCTGTAAAGAGGAAAACATGATTGACAATAAAATTAACATCTACACAGGGTACAGTATCAGTAAAGGGAATATGACAAACATCTTACCTGTCAGCAAAGGGGAGCTCAATGGTCATCACCGTATTTGAAATTAAGAGAGATCTTTGCCATGATTGATGAAATAAGGGGTCATTCTATTTAGATAATACACCACAAAAAGCACAAGGAATCCAGGATTCTCACATAAAACATTTAATTCATATACTAGTACAGTGGACTCTGGCAATACCGGCCTCTGTAAACACCGGCACTCTGTCTACATCGGCACAAAGTTTCAGTCCCGGCAGAAATGCACGTAATTATCATTTAGAAACCTCTGTAAACATCGGCATCTGTCTATTCAGGATATCGGCATTGTTTTTCAGTCCCAACGAACAAGTTGTTATGAAAACGATTCTGTAAAATCGGGCACATAAAAAACGGCGTAACCCTTTGATTCAATTAGGTCCAAATGATGTAATAACACAATTCGCTGTGACTCCCGAGATTATTCAGAAACGGGAAGTGTTAATCAGTATCTTGTTAATCAGTGAGTGGTACGTACCACTTACATAGAGTAATTAATACATGTAGTGGGCAGTTTGACTGTAAAAAGAAGCAAGTGTTTACATGTTGTTGATTCGAGGGTATTGACTCCCGAGATTATTCAGAAACGGGAAGTGTCTTGTGTCAATCAGTGTCTTGTTAATTAGTGAGTGTCACTTACATTATTTGACAAGATCAACACCATGACACATGAATGGTTTATGGCAGCTCGAAGTAAAAGCCTGCCGATTTCAGGCCCTATAAAAAAATCAGTGACTTTTTCACAAAGTAAACAAAACATATCTTGTTTTATTTGAATGAATAAACATGATGTGCATTCAGACACTGCCTTGTTTCTTATTCAGACATGTTGTTAATGCTAAAGTGACAGTACGACCATGAACTTCCCGTGTGCACAAGCATCATAAGCGAACTTGCAACCTGCCTAAACCGGCACTCTGTCAACACCGGCATTTTTATTTGGTCCCGAGTGATGCCGGTATTGACAGAGTACACTGTATATATAATCAGGGACTCTTCTAGTCTATGGACACTATTTTTCTTGAGTGATATATATTCTGCTTATACTGGCACACTTTCTTCTGTCAACAAATATAGATCTCTAAGTGACTTGTCGTGCATTATGGAGTTGGGCTAGTAAGATTAAGAAGGGTATGAAAAAATGATATGGAAAGGAGTTGGGGGTGGGGACACTCAAAAATTCCTCACAAATGTCAACAGAGGGAGAAGGAGATGAGAAATATTTCAGTTACACAAGCTGGATTCCATATTGGTGGTAAATATGCACAGTGTTGGTGAAAGACTTATGCATTAAAAACTTTTACCTGACATCAGGATTCATGATACTTCTACCCATGTTACAAACCATGTTTTCATTCTGTATAAAACAATTTAACAGTAACATTTTCAGAGTTTCGCAATAACCTGATAACCACTTGAGCTGGTGTAACCTTGCTGATTTTAGTGATTATCACAAAAGAAAGTATTAAATCTGATTGCAAACTGTAAGACCAAACCAATATTAAAGGGTCATTTTTTATACAAGTCTGTTAAATTATCCTTTTTGTCCTACACACACCTGACACCCTGACTTGGTGCTCCCTGGCCAGTCCCTGGTTTGACTCCACGTAGTGATGTCCCTGGTCGTGTGACACTTGCTATAACATTGTCATCCATCAACATCTCTGCAATTCCCTCTTCATCCACATCCACCTCGTCTACATACACCTGACCTGTCAGTGCCCGTGTCTTCAATGTCCATGATGCCTGTGATTCATGATAGGACAAGTCTGGTAATCATTTTACTACAAAATACATTGATCGCTATGAGGAAAGATATCTTGATTAACATATCAGAAATGGGACTGACACATCCTATTTCTCAATGTCAATAATTTGTTTGGGTAGGGAATACTCCGTTTAGTTGTCTCCAAAGATGATGCTTATTTCCAAGAATAATAACACAAAAAAAACAACATTTGTAGCTGTGGACTGAAGTCAGTATAATCTGACTAGATCATATAGATAAAATGCATACACAGCGAAAGTGTATGAAACCGCATGTGTTTCTACGAAGGGTGACTGATGGCAGAGACAGTTAAATAGAACAATTTCAAAATGTGTTTCTACCAACCTCTGTGGGAAAAATGACAGGTATGTGTATCATTAGCAAATATATTAGGGAATGTAGAAATGTCAACTTTTCAATCACAAACCCACACAAATAGGTTCTTACAATTTCAAGAAAATTTGATATTGCGTACTGCAATGAAAACAAAATATCATTCATTGTTAAGTTATTGGCGTAATATGTTGATTTGTCGACTACTGTAAGATTGAAAGGAGGAACAAACAAGTAAGAGTATATCTTGCATACAGTGACGTTAGATTTGATATTTGTTATCACTTATCGGGTTGTCAGTGTAAACAAAAGTGTTACTGCCTCTGACAGGTCGTCAGAAAGATATTTCCATCGATGTTTTTCACTAAAATCGAAGCACGAGAAAACTGTGTAAACTATCTAATTACCTGATCATAAGGATTCTTCTCAAGGAGTTGCGTACAAATATCAACACATTTCTGGTACTTTCTTCGCCTAAAATAGCTGTATGCGAGAAATAGTGGATCCATGTTTTGTTTTCATCAACAAACTATTTTCCTAATTGTCTCCCCTTTTGGCTATGCTGGACCAACCAAATTGCTTTTAACAAATGGACCAACCAAATTTCTTAACACATGAGAAAGTGTATTTTGTCGCTCTGTAACATCCCTAGACAAAACATTCCCAAATGACAAATCAAGGAATACGAGACCATTAAAGAGAACAAGGATTCGATCCTCACCGTAATTTCAACTTCAGACCGTATATGTACTAAATGCATTCGCCATAATAAAATGCGATCAGTGTTGGAAATTGATTTAAATTATAAAACATGTTTTTGAATCTTTAGTACTGCGTTCGAACGAATCCAAACATTTTCATTAGCGGCGAGCGAGTTACTTCCGATAAACGCTCTTGTTGTCGTTCTTGGCATCAAGGTGGGGAAGCAAGAATTGCGAAAATGGCAGTGGATTCGTTTTTGTTTATATTCGCTCTGATCGACGAGGCGACGTTGCTTTTCTTGGCAGTGTATTTCGTATCCTTCTGGTGTATTTTTCTTCCGATGTTGGTAGTTTCTGTTATCTAGTGCGCTCTATGTAGCCGAATATTGTGGGTCATTGTGATCGACTTAACATTTCTAACCGATCTTGAGTACTTTTTCGGTTTGTTCTTTTATCTTGTTTAATCTGATTATTGTATCTGCTTTTACGTTTGGATGATCATTGACTTTGTGGAAAGCATCATTTTCATTTTTCTTAATCCAAGAAAGATCATTACTCTGTCCGATTTGGAGTGCGACTATCTCAATGCTACATCATGCTGCAGCAAGCTCAACTATGTAAGTGTACAGGACTATAACCAAACAGGTTGCCACTGCACAATTATGTCTCTCTTCATCAACCCTCACTCTGAATTTGAATATGACTCAAAATACATCACCCTCACTCTGTGGACAATTCCCTGTTCTGTGATATCATCCACTCCCTATTAAGACAAAGATTTATTGAAAAAGATTTCTGAAAATTAGGTGCATGATAAATCTCAACATTTTTCACACATAAGTAAAGGATCGCCAAACAAATTTGGTGCCGTTCTGCTGTGGTGCCGTTTTAGCTATAACACATTCATAGCACTATTTAATGTAGATTTTTGAATCTCATTATCAGATGTTTACTTAAAGGTCACATGCAACGTAAAACACAACTTTGCAGATTCTGATAACTTTCGGTATGGACTTACCGAAACAAATCATCAAAAATGCAAATTCAACTTATAAAGTTGAAAAATAATGCGATGAAAAAGACCGCACGAAATCGTAGTTAAAAAGATTCACTAATTTTCCCCCAGCGCTTGGGGGAATTTAAATGGTTTCAACAGCTGGGCTGCGCTCATAGCAAATGCACAGTGAAATAGGTTCGCGCAGCTTGGAAGTGGGTTGTCCGGTGAATACTCAGTGAAGGCTTTGGTGTGAGCTATTTTTCTAATGTTTTGTTGATATTTCACAGGCGCGAGCTTTTGACTAACGCTTTGCGGCTTTTGCTCCTGTTCCAGTGGATCCTTCCAGAGCTGATAGCACAAGACTTCCTGACAGTGGTCCTCCTACTCAGTGGACACTGGGTGCTGTTCCTGCTGTATGCCCCACTTGGGGCGTGGATCACATACAAGTAGGTCCAGTGCTCATGTGAATGCATACAACTTCTGGTTTGAGTGTTGATTCTAACACTATTAAGCTGAAATCACTACAACAAAGTAATCACATGGTAATGAGATGTATGTATACATATGTTGTTAAAAGCAGCATTTAACATTGAAAATAACAGGCAATAGATGCAACATATGTTATACATGTATTTGGAATTACACTGCTGAGTAAAGTACACATTGTAAATTTTTTGGGAGCCGAATCCATATTCTAAGAGTAGGGCACCTAATCACCAGCACACAAAGTACTTGAATCTCTACTTTATTGAAGAAGTGTAATCCCAACTAAGGCATTGTGTATTAACATTCAATGGATATCAAGTTGTATAGAAACCTGGATGGAGCCAGATGTAGAGTAAGAATGTAATGACCTTAGTGAAGGTTTGTGATGGATGATTCCAATGGCTTCCAACAGTTTTCTTTGTGTGAAGTCCTGATGTTGGATACAGAGGATTTGACTTGGTAAAATTGAATTTGATGGCTGAAAAACTGTCTCCAGATCTCTGTTGCTGATGAAGAAATTTATGTTTAAGATTTGTGGTCAACCCATCAGGGAATATTGGAATGTTTGACCCAACGGAGATCCACAATAGGCAGCAGCTGAAACTCTACATGAAAGAAAGTCTGGTTCGACTTGGTTTCCATCTTATTTTCTTCTTCGTCTACCTGTACTGGTAAGTGGACAGATATAACCAACTAGTGTTATTTTATGGATGGGTTAAAACTTAACCAAACCTGAAGAGGTTTTCAATTCTTTGAAGAGAGTCGTCCTTGGGGTACATATTATGCATTTTCCGGGCTGAAAATGTCCTGTGACAGTTGTATCAATGTTTTTGAATAAAAATATTGTACAATAAATAAAAATCTTTTTATTTATTATACGGCCCCCACCTCGTGGAGTTACCTCCCGTTACGCATGCGCACCAACTGGGTAAGCACCTAGGCCCGTATCATCATTCCTTCTGCTGAATAAATCAGTGAACAGAATTGCGGGGAGGCGGGAGGCCCTACCCCAAGGACGACTCTCTTCAAAGAATTGAAAACCTCTTCAGGTTTGGTTAATTCTTTTTCATAGAGATCGTCCTTGGGGTACATATTATGCATAAACACAGACTCCCAAAGACCGGAGGCCAGGGAGGAGGGAATTCTGTCAAAGCACACACAAATAGCGATCGTTAAGAATAATGTAACAGACGCCATAATCACTCACCTGTCACATGTCCCGGTTTGCGCTTCCACGAGAGGCATTATGGGAGGGTAACCGACAGGGAGGAAATGTACTCATAGACAACCTACTTGGAGGTTAGCATAAGAATTCGCACATGGTGCGAATGTAAACAAACCCCACCCACCTTGTGTCGATTAGAGAGCACCGTAGGGGGGAAAAAACGCTCACGACCGACCATAGTCTCCGTAGAGGATCGAAAGGAGGTTATACACCCAACAGCGGACATGTCAATAAAACACAATATTGAACAGCAGCGTCAACAAAACCAATGAACCAAGACTCACTCGGTCAGGGTGGCAGGACACTGTCCACTGGAGAGAACAGAACGGCCAAAGCTCGCACAATTACGTGAATGTGTATCGAGCTGATAGTGCCGGATAAAAGTGCTAGGCCGGCTCCAAATAGCGGCAGAGCATATCTCTTCAATGGGCAGTGCCGATGCAAAAGCTTTTGACGTGGCTACTGCCCTGACCGAGTGAGCCTTCAACCCCTCAGGGGGAGGCTTGCCCTTAGCCTGATAAGCAGCACAAATGACCGAGACAAGCCAGCGAGACAGGGTCTGTTTGCTCGCTGGCACCCCAGCCTTCCCGCCACCGTAACAACAGAACAGATGGGTACCCGTACGGATCCCTCGTGTTCGTTTGATACAGACCTTGAGAGTCTGACGGACATCCAACGGGTGAGTGCTCGTAGGAGAGGTCCCCGATGTGGAAGGCTGGGTAAGAGTAGGAAGTTAGATAGGAGCTGTCACATGGAAAGCGTGATCGACCTTCAGGCGGTAAGTATCCGGGAGGCGAATACTGACACGATCAGAGTGGAACACAGTCAGCGCCCGGGTCGGACGACATAGCATGTAAATTCGCCAACCCTACTCCCAGATGTTACCGCCACCAGAAAAACAGCCTTCCAGGTTAACAACTGAATGGAAATAGCCGATAGGCGTGAGAGCGTAGGACCCGGACAGCCAATCGAGCACAATTGACAAATCCCAAGGTGGGCTGGTTCGCCTGACAGCAGGTCGAACCCGATCCACGCCAGCTAAAAAGCGCTGTACGAGAGGGTGCTGCCCCAGAAGAGCACCATCGACAGGGGTGTGAAAAGTGGAAATAGCGGTGGAGTAGCCACGAATGGTCGAAGCCGCCAGGCCTTCTTCCAAACGAGCTTGCAAAAACTCCAATACTCGGACTAAATCCGCCCAGAAAAGGGATCTGCAATCCCCTATCTGAACACCAGCGGCGCGCATAGCGGGACCACCTATCCTCGTACTGAACGTTTGTCGAATCCCGCCTCGAAGCCAGAATTGTGTCTGCAACTGCTGCAGGAATTCCGCGTGCTTCAAGGCTAGACCTGACAGAGGCCAAGCCACCCACTGAATCCTTGGATTGGGGTGTGGCGCGCCGTTCTGAGTGAGAATGTCGATCGCCAAAGGTAATAGAACAGGAGGCTGAGCCAGAAACCTGAGATTACGGAAACCAGCTCTGTGGCGGCCAAAGCGGTGCCAGTAGCACAAGCAGCCGAGCTGGCTGGGTGGACAGCTGTGAGAGGACACGGGGAATGAGTGGTAACGGCGGGAACGCCCAGAGCACTTTGCCCGTCCAATCCAGCAGGAAGGCGTCGGCAGCCAACGCCCTCGGGTCGGTATTCGAGCAGAACACGGGTGTCTGATTCGTCCCGCCCGGGCGCAAACAGATCCACCTGGAGCGACCCGTACAACTGGGAGATAACTCCGAATATCTGCCGGTCGAGCATCCACTTTCGTCGCGGGGCCAGGATCCGCGAGAGAGCTTCTGCTCGCCGTTCTCCAGCCCCGGGAGATAAACAGGGAGTACCTGACAATCGCACTGGTCGCACCAGAGGAGAAAGTCCCATGTCTCCCTGAGGAGTGCTCGGGACACCATGCCGCCTTGCTTCAGGATGTACGACATGGCTGTCTGGTTGTCCAACTGAAGACGAACCACCTGGCCCTGGACATGCTCTCGGAAGCTCTCGAAAATCAACCGCACAGCTGTCAGTTCCAACACGTTGATGTGAAGGCGGGCCTCGGCTTCGGACCAGAGTCTGGACACCGACAGACTGCCCAGAACACCCCCCCAGCCCGTGAGGGACGCATCGGTCTGAACTGTAAAAGCTGGCGTCGGGATTTCCAAGGGGACCCCCTTGGAGAGATTCCCGACATTGGTCCACCACTGAAGGTGAGGAGACAACCACCCGGGGACTGTGAGACTCCGCTCCAGGTCCTCCGAGTGAGCCCACAGACTCGCCAAAGCTTGCTGTATAGGGCGCATCCTCAACCGCGCCCGCCACACTACAGAGATAGTCGCCGCCATATGGCCCAGTAAACAGAGCCAAGTCCGTGCTGGTGCCTGGGGCTGGGAGAGGAACGAAGACACCATCTCCCGTACTCTGGTGACCCGGTCGGGCGACAAGGAAACAAGATCCTTGTGAGTTTGGAACCTCGCCCCGAGAAAAACCAAGTCCTGGGTGGGTACCAGGTCGGATTTCTTGAGGTTGATGATCCACCCCAGTCGAACTAGAATGTCTATCACCTTGTGAGTAGAATCTAGGCTCGCTGGCTGTGTTAGTGCACCGAGCAACCAGTCGTCGAGGTAAGGGTAACAACGCCTTCCTTGCGAACGAGCGAGGGTAGCCGGCACTAACATGAGCTTGGTGAACACCCTGGGGGCAGTGGATATGCCGAAGGGGAGCACCGTGAATTGGTAATGCATCCCGTCGTAAGAGAACCGAAGGTACTGCTTGAACGATGGATGTATGGGCACATGCAGATGCGCATCCTTGAGGTCGATTGACGTGAGCCAATCGCCGGGCTGAACAGAGGAGATCACCGTGCGCAGTGTCTCCATCTTGAAGGATGGAACTTCTAGCATGCGATTCAACCCCTTGAGGTTGAGAATGGGACGGAACCCGCCGTCTTTCTTCGGAACGAGGAAGTACGTGGAGTAAAATCCCGCCTGTTCCTCGCCCGGTGGTATGCGCTCGATAGCGGACTTGTCCAGCAAAGCCTGGACTTCGTCGCGCAGTATGTCCGCCCGTACCTGACATGACGGCACCGGAGTGCGGCGTATGCCGGTGAAGTCTGGCGGACCTCGCTTCCACAGTGGTAGATGGCCGACACTGACGGTGGACAGCACCCAAGTGTTGCTTGTAGCCTTCTCCCACTCCGGCAGGAATAGAGAGAGGCGGCCTCCCACTGGGACGTTGGGTAAGAGTGCGTGAGTGGTCCCGAGTAGCGGAGCTGATGGGGATTGACACACGTCTACAGCCTGATGGGTTAACGGGAGGTCGGGGCAGACCTCCTGCGCCCGCGAAAAGGTTGGAAGCCAGTCAAAGAGGACTGCTCCTTGCCCTTACCCTTGGCGGGACGGCTCCTCCGCCTACCCCTGCCGAGCGGCCGAAGCCAGCCAGCAGACTCGGGTGTAGGCTGCACCCCGGAGGAGGAAGCGCGGGGGCGAGAAGCCCGCGGTTGCTCCAACAAGGCCTTGGAGTCCTTGAAGGAGGTAGCTGCAGCGGCAGCCTCCCGGATGACCTGCTGGGCCCCAGGAAACAACGTCGCTCCCAGACGGTAAGGGAGGGCCAGCAAGGTCTGCTGTGTAGCTGCCGAGTACCGAGACGTCGACAGCCACAGCTTGCGCATCCCCATGACTGCGCACATCACCGTCGACGCGGCCGACCGCAAGGAGTCGCGCGCGAGGTGGACCTGCACTTCGGAAAGTTGACGGAGGAGAACAACATGCTGAGAAACGTCTCCAGCGGGCTCCTCCGCCTCCAGGGCCGACCTCTGAATCGAGGAGAGGTAGGCCTCGTGGACCACCAACCGCACCTGCTGCATAGCGTTCCGGTAAACCTCCTCGTAGGTCCGGTAAGCATGCCGCAGGGGGGCGCCCGCGAGAGCAAAAGGTGGCGTCAAACGCCCTTGCCTGGCAGCCGGAGCTGCTCCGGAGGAAGCCGAGCCTCCCCCCAGGGTGACCAAAGTGAACACACATTCGATACCACTGGCACGAAGAACAGGGAATCTTCCCCCAGCTGGTACCTCCTGACAAGCTCTGGCAAGTCAAAGCAGAGGCGTGACCCAGCCGAAAGGGATCCACCACGTCCTGCACCAAGGACGGCAGAATGCGGAGCAGCGTCTGCGTGGGTTGCCTAGGGGCAAACGCCTCGCCTGGTAAGAGGAACTCAGTCGAATCCGAGCGGCTTGTAGGCACCGTGGCCTGGGGAATGAAGTCAATGCGTTGCCAGACTTCCCTCAGAGCCGTCGAGAGACGGAAGGCACCCTCCGGCTCCTCGACCTCCCCAATGTCCATGGACTCGTCGCCCGAGTCCGAGGCTGGGTCTCCTCGCGAAGAGGACCCAAACCCCGACCCGGTGGGCGGCCTAGCACCAGACACAGAGAGAAGGGAAGAACCGAAGCAGCGCCCTGCTTCAGTGCCCGACACCACGCTCAAACTCCGGTCCCGAGACGCAGGAGGAAGACCAGGCAAAACTGGTTCCTCCGCTCTCATGGGGCGGGGCGGCTCCCAGGAATCCTCAGCGGACCCTGCCATGGGGCGGGACTCCGAGAGGGGGACTAGGAGCGAAGCCTCCCCCTCCGGGGCAGCCGAGGCGTCCGGACCCGAAGCCAGAGGCAACGGATCAACAGACGCCTCCAGGCCGAGGGATCGAGCCGGGCTCGGCGATCCCACCCCCAGACTCTCCGTCCCCTGCTCCGAGTGGGCGAGGAACTCCTGGCAGAGACCACCAACCGACTCGTGAACAAGGGACTTCACCGAGTCCATGTGCTGCTGGAATAATTGCGTGATTAGAGACATGTCGAAACCGCTAGGAGCAGTTGAAGGCGACTGACTGCGTGATTTAGCCTTTTTGCCTTTACTTTTTGGCTTTTTAGCTTTAGACAGGGGGACCTGGGTCAGTTCCCCTCCCGCCTCTCGCATTTCCCGATAGAAGAGAAAGTCTGCAGCCCGCCTCTTCTGGGCGCGGGGGGAGAAGCCCATACATATCTCGCACGTGTCAGGGTTATGGCCGCCTTTTTCAAGGCACACGAGACACTTATCATGACGGTCTGCACGGGGAATACTTTGCCCGCAGACAGTACAACCGGAAAACGCCTGAAAGCAAACACGCAAGCATGTAGCAACAGCATAATATACACGTACAAAACATTGAAAAATACGTGAATGCGACCACGGGAAGAAATAGTTGGTTAAAAACACAATATTACAACCACGTGGCACGCTAAACTTCCCGCCATGGAATAGCAACACGTGCGTAAACCACGGGAAAGTTAGCGTAAAATAATGAATACAAAGTCACAATTATGAGACAACCGACCGCAAAGCTTTACTGTTCCTTTCAAGGACAAAATAAAGACCATACATACAGGTGGTGGCGTCCCAGACATCATTCTCTTAACTTAAAAGAGTTCAGCTCTGTACGACACATCCGTACACGGCAGTGACAGCAGAAGGAATGATGATATGGGCCTAGGTGCTTACCCAGTTGGTGCGCATGCGCAGCGGGAGGTAACTCCACGAGGTGGGGGCCGTATAATGAATAAAAAGATTTTTATTTATTGTACAATATTTTTATTAAAAAACATTGATACAACTGTCACAGGACATTTTCAGCCCGGAAAATGCATAATATGTACCCCAAGGACGATCTCTATGAAAAAGAATCTCTAAAGTGGAGGTCCATGCTAGAACATGTTCCCAGAAATTTAGTTTTATTGTTAGATTCAGTGACTTAGTTGATTGCATGTTGTACCCTGAGGTGTAGATTGTTTCTCAGAAACCTCTCTGCATCAAGATCTGCGGACATGTCCATAGAAAGTTGCATTAGTTGTATCCTTAATAGACTTTACCAACCTAATCTTAGAGGATGTATGGACTCTTTGTTTGATTATATGGTTTACAAAAAAACAACCATGTGTTTGCCCCAAATGATTTGTATTGATAAGTATGTGCTTCAATTTACTCTATATTGTCAGTTAATCTTTAACTGTCTTTAATTGGCATTTTAGAAGGTAAAATGATGAAGAATAACAAATTATATGGATTGACAACGTCTTTATTACATTGAATGTAACGTTTCAATGTAGATGTTAACACCATCATCACTTGATTGATAATGATGTTAGCATGTACACTGAAACATCACATCCACTGCACTAAAGAAGTTGTTTGATTGGCATTCTAGAAGTTGTCGGGTCATTAATGAAACATGTGACTTTATGGATAACAGCTACTTGTCTGTTGCATATTTCGGTCTAGGTTCTGTGACCAATTTCATGCTAAAAACGGTGTATGAACCATCACTGAAACATCTCTTCATGCAGTAAACAAAGGTGTTATCAACAAAGTTGTATGCTTCAGTAATAAAGAAGTTGTCAATGCGTATAACTTGTTCCTTTTCAAGCTTTATCTGATCGACAGTTGTTTTGTTCATCTGATCAACTGTTGTTGCTTTTTTTTCATCTGATCATTTGTTGTTTTCTTTGAAGGATGATTTATTCACTGGTGAAGGGAGACGACAGCTGAAGGACCGATCCTATCTACCCCCGCAAGGTGAACCCAACCTGGGATATACCATGCCTCTGCTCACATGGACCCTGCTTTGTATTTACAGGATAACATTGGTCGTTAGTTTCCTTTGTTAGTTTACAATTAGGCCACAAGTTTTTTATGTGTTTGATGAATATGTGTATAGCTGCAATGTGTTCAGGGAATTATTGAGCAAATCAGAAATATTTGTCGCATTTTTGTGGTTGGTAAAATGATTTATGTTTTGAATGATTTGTAAGGAGGAAAAAATTCCACCATGATGAGAAAGGAAATATTGTTAATCAAACATCAACGAAACACATGTCATATTTGGGATTACACTTTCCCAGTAAAGTACAGATTATAGTACTTTTGTTGGCTTGAGTCCCATCTTGGATTCTAACCCACACTTAGAGTCCGGCACCTTACTTGCAGCACCCAAAGTCAGCACGCTAACCCATTCAGCTACCAATGCTTCCTCAAAAAAAGTCAGTCAACTGGAAGTGAAAATCACAGACTTTGTGTACCTGTTTGACAAGTGTAAATTGGCATGGCTTGCACAGCCGAAATGCCATTAAGAAAGTGGTCAAATGTAACATATGTTATATCTGGGATTACACTTTCTTAGTTTGTGTCCTGGCGATTTGGTGCCTGACTCCGAGAGTGTGGATTTGAATCCTAGATGGGACTCCGCCCAAAGAATCTATAATCTTTACTTTACAGAGAGAGTGTAATTCCATATATAACATTTTACATTTTATCACTTTGTTAATGGCATTGTGTATGTATGAAAAACACCAGTTGGCATTCATTTAAATGTTCAAATGTTTGTTCTTGTAATTTCAGAGAAATAATGTTGATTACCTGAAGGAATGTGTTCTGTTTGGATGATATTTCCAATGAACAAGCTCTGGATGTTTGATTGCTGTATATCACACTGTTATGCTTAAACCATATACAGCGAAACTCTGCTGGTCCAGAAACCCATGTTAGGCTGGAATGTGATGTTATTTATGATCTGGAATCCTGCTGATCATGACAGTTTGACAGATAACAGGGTTTCACTGTGTTCATTTCGTGTCATGGAGTGAGATTGTTGTGATTAGATTGTTATTTAATGAGAATGTGTGAAGGTGAAACAATAAAAAACAGTTGTCGTCCTAATAGTCCCTAAATGTTTATTGCCTAAAACCATTTCTTTTCTTTTTTTGTGGACATAATCAAGAAATGTTTGTTTCGTATATACCACAAAGTTAAAGAACAGTTGAAAATATCATGCATGCGTGTGTTGCTCTCTGTGGGGTATAAAGAAAACTGAAAAATTATTCTTGCAGTAGGTTTCTATTTTGAGGTAGATGTGTATTTAGAAAAGAACCTACAAGCTATGATGTGTTGTCTGTCTGAATGGAATACATTTTGAAAGTTCCAAGCCTTGGCGAGAGACTTCCAACATTTCTATAGGAGGGACAGATTCTACATTGTGGGTAGGTAATTCTTTCGGAGAAAGCTGTGGGAGAGTTGATGCCAAGTTGACCTGACATTGAATTGTTTGTGATTTCATGGACATGACATCATGTTCAGTTACTTCCAACAGTGCTTTCAAATGGTGCCTAAACTGCCATGGGCATCTTCAGTGTAACAATTGGAACCAACTAGCAGACAGCTGTTACAGCGAGAGTTAGTTGCCGTTATACTAGTACTCATGGGTTTCACGCACTTGTAAACATCGGAGACCTGTAAAAGTATCTTTGTTCATAGTATCAAACACGTGATGATTTACGAAGCAGATCTTTTGTTACAAATCCAAAGATGTGATTGACCATTCCTCTGAAATTATTTGGCAGAATTCATAGTGATAAGTCACATCTTACATCTGGAGCAGGTGTAAAGTATCCTAAATATTTCTCAAAACAATTATTGTATTTGCTGAAATAAGCGAGAGCATCTGTTTATTGACAGGTAACAGAAGATATTTCTATTTGTTTCATATCGGTTCAGTTTGTAGTGTCATATGTAATAAATTTTGACACCATCTGTTTCCATAACATGTTATCACCTGTATATGCAAATGAAATATGGTATTATAATAGAATTGAGTGAATTAACATTTTTGAGAGTCATTGATATATACTCCATTTAATGTCCCAAGTCCAATCACTGCTGCCACTTAGTTGCCTGGGGCTCCTTTTACGAAACGACCATTTTTAAGGTTAACCTTAACTCCCATTTTTTAACATTGCACTAAGGTTACCTTAGTGACACCTGAGTGCTTTGTGAAAGGAGGCCTAGTTAAGATTAACCTTAGTAAAGGTTGCTTTGTGAAAGGAGGCCTAGTTAAGGTTAACCTTAGTAAAGGTTGCTTCATGAAAGGAGGCCTAGTTAAGGTTAACCTTAGTAAAGGTTGCTTTGTGAAAGGAGGCCTAGTTAAGGTTAACCTTAGTAAAGGTTGCTTTGTGAAAGGAGGCCTAGTTAAAGTTAACCTTAGTAAAGGTTGCTTTGTGAAAGGAGGCCTAGTTAAGGTTAACCTTAGTAAAGGTTGCTTCATCAAAGGAGGCCATGGTCCAGATTCACTTTCTGTTTGGATCAGCTGACAGGGTTATTAGTTGTGACTGTGACAAGTTATGTCCATTGTAGTATCATCATACAAACAAGATGTTTGTACTGGTTATTGGTGCAGAAGAACAAAATGAGAACCATTGTGCAATATTGTATATTGATGTAGAGATGTACAGAATGTTTGTGAATTGTCCCTGTCGGGAGAGCTGGTGCAGGGACGAGAATTAGCCGTGGGTCCTGATTTCTTAGGATTTGTTACATCAGGAGTATTTTTTCTTATACAAGCCATTACAATACATGCATAAATCATGTAGTCCCCCAGACCCTGTGCCAACTTCCAGTGTATTTTGAAAAGAAACTTTCTTCTGTTGAAGGATGGGTTCCATCTCAATCAAACACCGCATATTGTCTGCCATTGTCTTCAAGAAATCGTGTCATTTTAATGCTGCTTAGATGTTTTCTATTGTTCAAGATTTTAGACAACAGAGACTGTGTTAAAATGAACTGGTAGGAGAGTAGGTTGGGGGATGGGGAATGGGATACAGCAAAGGAATCACTGAGTGCTGTCATTGTATTTAAATTTAGAGAATCCCACTAGATCTTCAACTTTACAAATATGGGTTATGACAAAGACCCTAGATGTTAGTGGATTATATCAAGGAATCCATAGAGTTGTTCTCATTTTGTTCCCGTTTCACAGAGTGACCATTGAATATTTGTAAGATTAAGCATGAGACGTGAACAAGTAACATGTTGTTGTGTTGATCTCAGCTGATAAGGCACTGGATCACAAGCTGCACCTTTTGTGGATGGGAGTGTCCATCCTGTGTACAATTATTTTACTTATAGGCAGGGTATATATGACATCTTTTTAAGTTCCTTACTCAACATTTCAACAGATGTTTTTGACAACAGGTTTAAAAGATTTCATTATTGTCGGAATGACAAATTGCATTGTCCATCTTGTTTTTCATGTGTAGATATATGTTTTCCTTTTCATATTTGTAGATTTTGTATCTGTTTGTGCATTGTGTTCTAAATAACCCAAGTGGTGCTTCAGAATGTATGCGCTTACCTCCTTGCTTATCTCTCATGGATTAATACTAGTTTCATTTCCTTTTTCATGATATCAAGATTTGCCAACGGATTGTTTGTGTGAAATAGATGTCAAAACCCAGCATTGAAACAGGCATGTTTAATGCAGTGATGAATATTTGCACTCTAGTGGTAAAGACCAGTTTTTCGACCAGATTTGTGTTTCAACTGGTCACCCCTCCGAGGCTGTGGAGTAAGGTCAGTGACGTTCATTGACCCAAGAGATAAGCCATTGTGTCCAGTACACATATTAATCTACTGGCTTTGTTGAATACCACAAGCCACATGCAGTTATTGTCAGATCGGAAACAAGCTGCATCTCAATCAGTATGACCTCTCTCTGTATGAAGGTCCAACTACACTGCTTTGAAAACCATGTTAACACTGAACATACCTGGACCTCCTGGGCAACATGGAGGATGTGTGGGTTCTTTAGTTAATCACATGTCAGCTCTAATAAAATTTTGGCTTCATTTTTCAGACATTTTGATCATTGCTAAAGAAACCTGCCACAGAGCATAGATATTTATCCATAGTAACCATTTTAGGTGTAGGTGATGTGGGATGTTTAAAATATTTGATTCGCTGATTATATTAACTTTTGAGATACAGAAATCAGATGTTTCTTTGAATCTTTCACAGTCTTGTACCAAGAATTAAGTATCCTGGATGTGGATGTGCCGATTGAAGTTCCCCTGACATGAATCCCCATGCGAGGGGCTGATCTTCACACAGAGAGAGATTGTAGTGGAGTCTGAATCTAAATGAGATTGTAGTATGCAAGTATATTTATCATGTTTAGGTTCAGTAATATTACAGAAAAATATATTTAAAGAAAAAGACTAGCCCGCAGGTGTCACTGGACAAATGGCCAACTATACAACAACAAATAAGTTGGCATCTAATTCTTCCATATCTCTATAGTTAATCTGTCATATGTAAATTTACCAAATAAATCTGTAATGGTAGCATTCCATCCATTACTTTGTCGTATACATTCCACTAACCATCTGGGCTAGTAGATGTATACAAGTGGCAACCATAACCAAATGTCACTGCGTTTGTCTGGTTGACTTGCCAGTGTAGAGAATGAGTTGTGTTACATGCCATAAGCAGTGTAAAAAACATGTTCACTGTCCACCACAGATTTTAAGCCAAAACACCAAAATACTGATGCATCAGGTCATTGATAGAGCAATGGTAGCACTGCTACTACCATGACTCGGATACTCAAACATACACTTTCGATGGGTGTGCAGCTATCATTATATGACATGGGGCCCTCATGAGGTTAGGACATTGTGGGGAAATAGCAATAGATAGTCCTGTTTCCTGACTAACATCAAATTTCAGTTTGTTATTTGAAGTATTAGAACTGTAACTGTTCTAGTTTTTTTCGATGAACTACTGCACCGAACATAGTGACCCTCCCTTAATGTTTGTCGTGTTTCTGTATGAACCTCTCCCTGTCCTTGTACATTTTCTTCATGAGGATCTCTGAAAAATCAAAATGCAAAAGCAACCTGCCCCACATTCTCTTCCCACAGAGGTAACTACTGTCATATCTTCCTACGTAACCTTTGTTCTAATACGGCCCTTTCGTGGTGTGAGCGTTCAAGGCTCGTGATTGGAGACAATCAGATTTAGTTGTGCAATCAGCGACGTTGTTTCAAAAGTGATCATTCACAAGGCCTCGGTTATTTCCGTATGCTTCGAGAAAACTGAACCTCTTCCCCTGCGCGATGCGCAAATGTTTCTTCTAGACAGAACTCAGTCATGTTATGGCGGATCAGTGGCGTCTCCATCGCCCTCGTTGACAACGGACAAGCTAGCCATTAAGCGTCTTGTGTGTAACATCAACACAAGTCCCCGGCAGATTGGGGATATTTGTGGCCCCACATTTGCTTGTGTTAGTCTAATCTAAGTCGATATAAGACGTGTTCTGATTGGATAGAAAGAAGGGAGATAATTCGTGTTGCGATCTTTTGCCGCTAGGGGATTTTATGAGAACCGGGAAATATGGCCGTATTAGAACAGAGGTTACGTAGGAAGATATGACAGGGTAACTTCTGTGGGAAGAGAATGCCTGCCCCAAAAACGTGTATTATTCTTTTATGACCCCGCCCAAGAGACCTTTTTGGTGACCCTCGTGATTCACTCTGACCCACCAACTCCTATAATAAATGACTGATCCGTAAGGAATATCAATGCAATCCCACCCTAAAAGATTATTTGAACAGTGGTTTAATATAGTCATGATCAGGTCTTGTACATTGTACTCATCAAGAAGTACAGAATACCATGGAAATATCTGGGACAATGTGCTACTTGCACAACATTCTCAAACTGACATAGCACCTCGTGTTGTCATTGTTTGTAGCATAAGAAGCAGACAAAACGTTCCCCAGTATTGAGATTGTCCCGGAGTGCACCACTGTGGGCTGACAAAGATGTTTCATGTTGCTGTCATATCCGAACTTGTTTGAACTGTACAACATATCGTCTCACTATTCTAACACTTTTAGAATAAAATGTTTTACTGATTTGTTTGTCATTCATACATCTGAGAAGAGAAAAACTTCCAACTGCAGTATTTGCAGGATCATATCCCTTATTCTAAATATTTTTTTCTTGTTCTCCAGTAAAACAAATTCCAAAATGGA